GTTTACTTCCCCTAGCCTATCTGTTTTATCCCTTTATTACTTCTTATCTCAATACAAGGTGTGTCAAAAAAGTTACCAAAATGCATTTATAATTCTAGATCTTATCAAGTTGTCACCAAAACTGACAAGAAAATCTGAGTCCAGAGAACACAATAGCCAATACAGCAATTATAGTTTAATACCCATTTATTGTATGCCAAAAAGAGCCCCCTTGCCCACAACTCCATAATTTGACTCCTATCATCTAATTCACTCAGCTATAAAATGATTATTTCACAACAACCTGTCCAGCCGCATACTGATTGCTCTTTACATAATACCTTACATTCTATTTTTGAAGAAAAGTGGCTTTGTTGTTCTGCTGAGGCATCAGCCTTTTTGACAACACTCAGGTTTGCACTGTAGTGTCGAATAACAGCCAAAATAACATTAATATACGAGCTACCATTCACATTTTAAGGTGTAAAGTGTTTGTTATTTATTCTTTTTTTCCTCCAGTTTTCAGCTCCGTACAGCTGTTCTCACTATTGATTTTGTGTTCAAACATCCTGTATAGATCTATCCTGACGCATCTTATTTCTTTGAATGTATAAAAGGTAGAGCCTCTCATCACTGTAATAGTTGGTTTCTGAGTCATTTTATTCATTTGTAATTCATTTTGTTTAGGTTTAAACTTAACAAAAAAATGAGATGTGCTTTTTAACATGAGCTGTGCTATAATTATACAGGGACTAGGGTTCAGGAAGACTTAAGCATGTTCTCTGCCTGATTTTGGTCTCACTTTCAATAACATGGCCAGTTTTCTCATACACTTGGGCAGGTTCTGGACATCAGCATCGTTATCTTATCTGTATACCAACACACACACACACAGATATGTCCACATATATACACACACTAAAACAAATATACACAGCACAGCCAATATCTCATATCACTGAAAATTTGTGCCTTCACCCCACATACACACACACACACACTGCGCACACATATACACACACATAGACATACACAATTTCAATTACGCACACAGATGTGAGCACACAAGCACATGTGCACGATCAAACACGATACAACACATAACCCTGCGTGCATACTCTTCTTAACATCTATGTGTTAGTTATAATATATATTATCATCAGAGTAGGTGCAACAGATTGTGTTTCAACACAGTCGGTTTAAAGCTAAAGCAGGCAAGTTCACCGATTCATAATGAAGAATTAAAAAAATCACCCTTTTGAATGTACAAAAGGTGTCTCCCCTAACCATATATCCAATCTTAGTTGAAAATTTAATCTCAGAATGAAGAATAAAGAAAATGTGATCAAATTCTACAAAGCTAAGTACTTCCATCAGCAACCACTTGCCTCCTTTCACCAAAAACTTCAGTGTAAAAAACACTCTATGCCAAGCAGTGCAGTGTATACTGAATATAGCCACCTTTCTTTCCTCTCTCTTCACCTATATGTACTGATATATCGCCTGACCTCAAACCAATCACCAAACACTCAAATAAAAGCCAGACTCGTCCCAGCCACCTCATGTTCTATAGCTGATCAAACTGAATCCACCAGCAGATCTTTAGTGAGCTACCTCTAAGGCAGGGGGTGGTGGTATTTTTTTCTGAAAAAAATGGACCCTTTTTAGTAGACACAACTTGAAAAATGGCACTAAACTAGGAGTCAGCAGAGACCTCTTCTACATCCAAAAAGGAGGTTCTTTTAACCCCCCTCCCCTGCCTCTAGGCCTGACCGGTCATCAAATATTTGATGCAGCCATAAAGCCCCACTCAGCCAATCATAAACCAGTCACATGATATACAACAGCCAATCAGAAGCCGAGAAGCCAGCCACCTGACTTGTAATGGCCAATGATTAAAAAGTACCTCCTCTGTTTCCTGTGAAGAGAAATGAAGCATCTCACTCTTTTCTCTCTTTTTAAGAATTTCCACTCCTCCTTTTTCTCCCTCCTCCCCCTCTTCTTCTTCCTCCTCCTCTATCTCTTCATCTTCCTTCCCATTGCCAAGCAAATCGATCGTATGGTCTACGGGGCTGTATCGCCCCGAGTCAATATCAGAATAGTAAGAATCCGTCTCTGATTCTGTTTCAATCTCTTCTTCATCTTGAGCAATTTCTGATTCATCATCATCGTCACCGTCCCCATTCTCTGCTGTGTGATACGTCTCTGCATTAGACTCGTTTTCAGAGTAATTCTTATCTACAGTGTCTGTGGTTTCGCCATCGCAAATATCTCCCAGAGACTTAGAGTCTGCTGAGGCATAATCCGTGTCAGCGACCTCGCTGGCGCCCTGGGAGGCCCCATGGTCCTCCTGTTCCTGTTTGAGCAAAGGCAATTCTACATTATCATCACAAGCTGGTTTTCTCTCCACCCCATTTTCAGGCGAGAAATCTTTCTGAAAGTCATTAGCCGTATACTCCTGCCTCGGCGGAGCTTCGTAGTTGAACTGTGACATTGGCGGCTCAGAATAAAACGACTCATAATGGTGGAATGTTCTTGGTTCCTGGTGCGGAACCACGTGTTCTGGCTGCTCACTGGGCTGAGGAGCAGGAGGATGGTAGAAAGTTTCAACCTGCGGAGGGCTGAAGGGAGAAAACATCTGGTACTGTTCTTGTTGGGGTTGATGATGGTGCTGAGGAGGAGGAGGAGGAGGAGGAAGGGGAGAGGGACCACTTGGTTCCCAGGGTGCCGAGGGGGGGCTGGGAGGCCAGTAAACCAGTGTCACCTGAAATCGTAAAGTGTGGTTAGCAAGACCATACTGGGTCTCGTTAAAAAAGGAATGAAGTTAGTAATTACAAGAAAAAAATCTTTCACCTGTTCAATTTATATCTTTGTGTTATCATAAACAAACAGTACTTTTATTTCAACTTCACTTCACAGACTCTTTTTGGCATACCACTCTCACACTCTGTTCTTATACATTATATAATCCTTATAATTCACTGGACTATTGAATACCATACAATTTTTCCCAGGCTTCAGAAAGAACCAGATTGTCATTGATACCATCATACTTAGCATCATCAACATCATCAGTCAGATGGTCAAACAAGGTACACTTTATGTAAAACGCTACCAGAAACAAGATTATCTCCAAGAATACAAACTAAAGGATGTGAAACAGAATGAACAGCAAAATAATAAAAAAATTCTGAAACTAATCACTCTTATAACGAGAATATTCCAAGTATCTACAGAAATAATATAAACATTATTGGGATGCTATTACTCATAGCAGACAACCATATATCATGCATAAAATTGGATGTTGTATCCAACAGCATTGGGGATAATATCACAATCCTACACAATGTCTCACTTATCATGTCTGGGGATAATATCACAATCCTACACAATGTCTCACTTATCATATCTGGGGAT